TAGCGCTGCTTTATAAGTTTAGACTATAATATTATTAATATTATCAACTTTATAACTACTACCTGCAATTAGGTATAGGCTCTATAGTAGGTTATAGAAGGTGAAATTATAGCTTATCTATACTCCTTTATATTCTGATATAAAGCTATCACTTTATCCCTAAAGATCTCTATGCTGTGGTAGTTTAGTAATAGCCCTTTTTAGATTATTGCTAGCCTTAAAAAGAGAGCATTTAGATACTCTAAGAGGTCCTTTCTATCCTGCTTTAGCTCTAGCGCGATTGACTTAAGAGTAGTTATATCCTATTTATTTATATACTATTACTAGTTCTCTTTTATCTTGAATTCTATCTTTATCCTCTTAATAAGGGATGTAAAGTTAAGACCTTTTCTAACTAGGAATTTATAATAGAATAAGGCAGTATTATCCTTAAGTATTTAGGGAAAAGCTCTATAGTATAAGTAGGGTGGAAAGTTTATATTTTAATAGTTCTTATAGAAGATTATAAGCTTAGCATTTATTATATTATAACGTCCTTTTTTATATTATTACTTATTATTATATAGCTTTATTAGATTGGTTATCTGTTTTATAATAACCTCTTTATTGCCTAGAGCGCCTTGGTTATTATATTCTAAGGGGGTTATTTAGTGGATTATTATAGAAGCTATCCTAGCTTTAATACTTTAGGTATCTCTTTAATCTAGATGCTAATACTAGTAAGCCTTATATATATGATTACTAACCTCTTTAGGATATCGCTATTACGGCTGCTACTACTACCTCTCTATTAGCTTAATATCCTCTTAAAGATAGGCTTATTTCTTATTAAAGATCTCGACTTCCTTTATTATCTTAGCGTGGAGTTAATATTATCTTTACTCCTCTTCCTAATATCAGATAATCTTCTGCTTAGTAGTAAGCTCCTTTCTGTCTAATCTATAGGTTAGGTTTAGTGCTCTTATTATTTCTAGAGCAATTAGCTCTTCTAGGACACTTTATAAATCCTTCACTTATATCCATCTAGTGTAATCTATCTCCTAGGACGTTAGAACTATTAATTTGCGTTATCCTGCCTCCTTTTATAGTTAGATAGATCCTTAATAGGATAGATGCGCGGATCTCTAATATAATCTCCCTTAGCTAAGAGGTTTAAATTTATCTTTAAAGTTAAGGTAATAGCATAAATAGAAAGCTTGATTTTAGCCTAGTTAGACTATAACCTCTTTATCTATCTACTAGTATAGGTGCTCTTCTATTAGGATATTTATTAACTAGGGAGCAATTAACACTTTATTAAGCGCTATAAATACCTCCTATTCCTATAGATAGTCTTGAAGTTATTATATATCTATTATATCTACTACTTTAAATGCCTCCTAGGTCTAATTAGTAAAATCTGCTTGAAATGCTGCCTATAAATTACTATCTTATAGTCTCCGTTTTTAGTATTATAACCTCTTATATATCAAGTATCCGTTTATAGCTAGGAGGTCCTTCTTATCTAGGTCTAACTATAATATAGGGAGACCTCACTTCTCTTTATTAACTTCCTCCTTGCGTTTTATTAGTATTACTATTATAACGCCTCGCTTAATACCCTTTTATAGTAGAGGTATAGGCTTTCTTTATTATTAACTCGGTCTAGGTTCTAGACTTAAATTACGTAAAGGGTCTATTAGCTCTTCCTTCTTATTATCACTATTGTAATAGCTGACCGCAGGGTTTAGACATGCTATATTATAATAGTGTTATCGTTTTTAAAGTGTTTTTAGACTTTAGATATATAAATTTAGGGTTGAAATTCGTGGTGTTTTTAGTATAAAGTATGCTAAAAATTCGTCTTAATTATAATAGTAATAGGCTCCTTAATAAGATAGTCCTTATTAACCTATTAGTTACTAGTGCCTTATAAAGTCTATTATTCTATATAATAGACGCGGCTACTTATTAACCTATTAATTACTATAGCCCTTAAATTACTAGCAACTAGCAGTATTAATATCTCCTTATTAACTAATTAGTCACTAGAGAAATTGGATAGTGCCACCTATTTCTCTCCTTATTAACCTATTAGTTACTAGAGATCTATAGGCTATTATTGCTATTCCCTAGCATAAAAACTTAACGCTTATTAACCTACTTTAGTTACTATATTATATCTTTACCTCTTCTCTAAACCTTACTATTCTATAGTATCTCCCGTGAGAATAACCACTGATTAGTATTAGTATTATAGGCAGTAATATATTAGAATGTAATCACTTCTCTACTATATAGTATAGACTTAATGCTAGTTAATTAATGCTTAGCATTTAGGTGGTATTACGGAGACGAAGAGGTTATGCCTCTTCGCTAACTAAGCTAAGTCATATAAGCTAGATCACATGACTAGAAAGGTTAGGGAGGATCCTAGGGCGGGTCGTATATCCCAACACTACCTACACTTTCAAGCTTTTCGCTTGCGCACACCTATAAATATACCTTCCTTCACTGTCGCCGTTACCATCATTGTACTTGCCCTAACCCTTGCTGCAGTCGCAGCAGGGTTCTCTGCTTCAACACTACAACTTCAAGCTTTTCGCTCTCGCATAAGCACGGAAATGCCTTCCTTCACCGTCGCCGTTACCATCATTGTACTTGCTCTAAACGTGCTGTCAATGGGGCTTTTGTTGTCAACTTGTTGCGTTCGGTCGATTTGTTTCATTCTTGGTGAATGAATGAATGAATAAGGGACTGCCTTTTTCATAGTTAGACCTCGCCATGGGTCCCCATAGGTCCTAATTTAGGACCCAGACCCAAGCTATGGGGGACCCGACACAGGGACCACGTCAACACCAAGCGCAAGGAGCTCGTGCGCCGTCATCGAATTGCCCTCTAGAATGTAGGTTCGCATCCCATACCCCTAATCGCGTCAATCGGGACTTGTAGCGTCGTACGTACTGTAAAATTGGGTATAAGAAGTGAATAAATGGATGTTCTATTTCAAGTAAGATAGGATATGGTTTTATAGGAGTATAACACTCAGCTGCTGTCATATTAGTTAATCTCTTGCAGACAAACACTTCTCACAAGTTACAACTGGCAGGCTTACTAACTCTGTTAAACTAAGCAAAGATTTATTCATATATAAGTGGGGACCATGTAATTCTGCAAGATAACTAGTCAGCTTCTTAGGTCACTATTTGAAACTATTGGAGTTCAAGACGGTTAAAAGACCTACCGCTAGGGGTAAGATAAAGTTGTTAAGACCTGTCATGGCAAGTCAGAAAACAATCACGCATTCGACAGCGAAGCAAAATACAATATGACAAGGGTCAGCAATTTGATCAAGCTCGTAGCAACGCTATTGCTCAAAACTTTGCGAACGTTCAAATTATAGATAGCGACGAGATCGGCTCCAACGTGGCACATAGTAAGAGGAAAAGTCTTTCCAATATATCGTCGCATACTCAATGTTTACTGTCCAGATCCCTTTTCATTCACTCACATGATTTCATGCCTTATTTGAAGATTGCTCTTTGCGATCTTATCTCATCTCTTCTAATTTAAGTTGAGCTAGACCTTGCTCTTTCCTTATACTCGCCTCAGACCTCCGAGCAAAGCAAAGTAAAGCATGACGTTATGGGACGCTGATGGATATTTTCGCAAGCTGCAATGTCCTCTTCCACGGGGATAGGTCTTCTTATACGTGCTCGAGACGAAGCTCCCTTTGCAACATAATCCTCGATCATGAGTATAGCTTGGGGGTTGACATGACTGCTGATCATCCAGCCAGTTCATTACTCTTCGTAGCCTATGATGAAGTGCAAAAGTCAATGAAAAGAGCAAAAATATCCTAACACGTTATTGGTGTATGAGGATTTTGAGCCTCTAGTGAGATTGCAATGCCAATGCTTTTAAACTAGGGGAATAGATCTAGCGTGGAACTTCAGCCCCCAACTGCAAGGGCTCCCGAGAAGGATCGTTTGGCCCTTCATAGGCCAACTCCTTACTCGCTCGCTTACAAAAATAGGAGAACGTTCGAAACAGCTACCGCCTGTCATACCGCATCCTCGCGGCAAATACAGTATATCAAGGGATGAATAACAATGTCCATGCAGGCTCAGATAGGGTCACTTTGCTTTAGGACCCTACCACGCAGACGCCTACGTGGTGTGGGACCATGAGGCATGACCAGAGTCCGGCAAGCGCGTCGGGCCTCATCCCTAAGAATATTTTCTTGGATTGTACTTAGCTTGGGGGTCAATAAGAGATTTGATCCTGGGAAATGCAAGTATTGGTAGTGGTAATGGATTGGAAGGTAACTAGGGGGAGGGAAGGCACGGATCTGGAAAGGAATATATTATAGCGATAATTCAGGCAGGGCTAAGGTCAGGTATTTTATAGGTAACCTGGAAGTAAATTGAGCCGACCCGCTTAGCGAGCCAGAACTGCTCCTGGTTGGCCAACGTTGGACAGAATTGCAGCCTAAACTGTAAGGCACATTTTATATCTACATGTCCAACCTCAACTCATCTCATAAGATCCCATGATATCTCGGCCGACTTCAAATTCTGGATCTTTTGGCCTAGGCATGCTTATTATATGCCTCCGCTCTATGCCCCCTCTCTTCTTTCACCTTTATAATTATCGGTTTTTCGGAATTTGAGAGATCCTGCAGGGCTCCGAGCTGAGGATGCATTGCTACTGTACCGGTAGGTAAATTAGTGTCCGGCCTTGATAGGACTCCGCTCTGCGTAAGAAATAAAGATTACAACTTTGTTAGTAGAGTAGGAGAATCATAGCAAATGTGAAATGGGACCAGCGGAGTTGATCTCACCTGAGCTGAGCCTCCTAGTATGTGTATCATATTCTCTGCCAGGCAACAGTTTCTTACGAGCCACCTATACTAGTACGGCACGCTTCAGTTCACTCCTCAGTGTCCCCACGAAAGAGACAGACCCAGAAACATTAACCAAAAGCGCTTTTAACATTTGACAACCATATGTTATTTCGATATGAATGAAGCACTGTGCTCTATTCTCTGCGGGGAAAATGAATGGTGCTTTCATACAGAAGGCCAATCAATCAAGTTCAACCAGGATGGTACTGGCGAGGTATTTCTCTGTCCCTTACCATATATACCCCTAAGAAAACTGCTAACCACTCAAATCAAAAGTTATGGTGCCGTTGCAATTTCAACTATTTCATCGCCACAGAGCTCGAATGGAAGAGCATCGACCCCCCTAACCGCTCTACTCAAATCGCAAGCTCCACCAGCAGCCTCACCCACACCAAACTCCCCCAACTCCTAGGCCAGCTCACCCTCGAAATCACCCTCGTGAAACAGATACCCCAACACGCACGAGCCTTTCTATCAAGAAGCACCATTCTCAACGAGCTAGGACTCAGAGATGCTGCCTTTCGTCCTAAATCCTACACCATCAGGATCGAGAAAGGCAATTTCGTAGAGCCTTGTTGTATTAGGGGTATGAGCCCGTCTATGCCGAGATTCGCGCTTCGTTTGCTGTTTGATACTTCGCCGTATCCGCCCCGAGTGGAGTGGAGGGCGCCAGAGGGCGGGCCAGATAGTAATTGTTTTTGGGAGCATAGAGAATTTGTTGGGAGAGCCGCGCCAGATTTGAGGAAGTCAGGGAGAGCTATGAATGATTTTCCTACGGAGGGCTGGAACTCCTGCGTGGTGTCGTAGGTGTGTGGATGCATCTGGACGTGACGATCTTAGAGACGAGACGGGCGAGCGAGCGAGTGAAGAAAAGGGAACTAGGCTAGCAAGGCGAAAATTCGGTGGAAACTCTATATTATCAAGAGGTATTTATGCTTTGCATTATTATATAAGTTCTCTTGTTGCCGGTATACCTAGGAACTGTACCAATGCGCGCAATCGACTGGTAGTGTTCAAGTGATCTCGCCACATTTTGGTGGAATACGCGTCAAGTGACTCGGAATCTTTTCTATTTGTCTGTAAGAAAGCTGTTCTGCATGACAGTGCTAGCAACTGGTTGCGTGCTGGTTTTGGTATTATTGTCAGAAAGTCGGAAATTGATGTATTGTTTACTCTTTGATTGCGTTTGATATCAATAATGAACAATTTCCACGCTGTCCTAACCGCAAACACGCTTGAATATTTGTCTTCTTTAGTCACCGATTGTTGTTATTTGAAGTCCATTCTGATGATGCTAAGTCTACTTGCGACGTCTAGGAAGATGATGGGTGTATATAACTAGGCAGGACTTCGCTGTTTTCAAGAAAAATAAGCTTGTTATCAATCCTGTTTAACATCTTCTCCTTCCATTTCGTCAGTCTTAGGGCTCTCATCTTTTCCCTTCCTTACTCTGAAATTGGCTGCGAGGCTAAGTGATATCATCAAGTCGAAGTCTCAGCCACACAGAATTCCTAAAACCCAAAGTTCAATGCCTAAGATGCAAAGCTGGATCAATGATCCAACCTTCACAACCGATGACCGCAGAGTTGCGGCAATCCGTGTCGTGTGCCATGAATGTGTTACACTTACTTTGAGTAATAGCGTGGATCATAACCGCTGGACTATCCTCCTCCTTTTGGAGCGAGATACGGCAGGCACAGGTCTCGCTCACGAGCTGGACATGAACGCAAGCAGTCATGCTCCGAATAATAGAGGAGTATTGGTATGGGACAAGAATCTGACAGGCGCCATTCCCCCGCGAATTGAGACGTACTTTGACTACGCATGCGATGGGATGGTTACGGTCAGCAATATTCACAACCTAGTATATGGTAAAAAGAGGCAGCACTTCAAGTTCTGGGACGGATGGGCAGGTAGTCGGTATTGGGTGTAAGCTTTTCAATCCTGTCCACGTCTTCTGTAAAAAAGGATCACCCGCTGATAATTGAGGATAGGCACGCCATCGTATAAGATCTTGACGAAAGACATTGGCTGGCGACGTTACCTGGCCATGTGGCCGCCAAGAACGACCTGTGGGAGAAATTGCAATATGTTTATAGAAATTTAGGCAACTCTAGAACATACTCGAATGTGTTGGCTGCGCAGCGCGCTTTGTAGAGAGCGATTCTGAGTAGTTCCGGCAGTTAGTCCAGCAGGAATAGGTGGAGGGACAAGAAGTCTCTGGCTCCTGGGAAATGTATCGCTTGGTCCAGTAGGCCTAGAAATGCGTTGGTTATAATGAATTGCGTTATTCTAAAGACACATGCATCATTGCCAATTTTAATGCTCAAACGTGAGATATGATTGTGATTTCATTAAGTGACCCCCCCCCCCCCCCCCTATTTATCACTAAGCGAAGCTCTCAGATGTAATGGAACCACTATAATGACCAACCAAAGTTATCCGCCGCCGACCTCATTCCTCGCTTTCCTTGGGTTCTTTCTTGGATTCTTTCTTGGGTTCTTTCTTGGGGGGTTTCTTGGGTTCCTGTATTCGTCCATACTTCCCCTTAGCAGTAATTGCAAAAGTGCCCGGGTCCACCTCAGCCGCTCTATCCTCCGCCTGGGTCGAATGAAACACTTTGAACACCAACTTGTTAGCATCCTTGCCCGCTCTTTTCATAGCCTCCTTCAAACTGTCTGTATGGCTATCACCAACCGTAGCCTCAAACCCGGTTTTACTTCCAGTATCATTTCTAGACGCGATAATGACCGTCGATGTTTCCGATATCTTATTGGCCAGCGCGTTGAAATAGCTGGTCCCGGCATCGCTACCTCAAGTGGACGAGGGTGCGCTTGCCGTTTTTTTGGTCATAGGTTGCTATCACGCAAGACGCAGTGATTCTCCAGGTCTATAATGTGTCATTGTGCTTAGCCTCCTCTGGTTCGGCTGCTTCCGCTGATTTTGCCATGTCGACTCCAAAGGCTGGCTCAACAAGTTCGAAGCCCTCGGCCAATTCTTTGACTCTTTTGACAACAATCTCTAGTGGTCCTCCTGGCTGGAGAGAATAGTCAGTATTTGTGTCTTTGAGAGAGTATGGAGTTATAAGATTTCACAAAACAAGAGATGAGTGTCATCGAAGGCTGTGCTCTGCAACTGGAGTAAAGATTTGTAACGCATCGATCTAAAGTCCAAAAATGTTCGAAACGCATATTTGAAACAAATGCATTTACTGCCAGGTCACTTACTCAATTCCAGGTTCTACATCAGGCTCAGAATCATCATCAATTCCTGACATAATGACTTTGCCTATCTTATAGAAACTCCGAAATATTATGCTTAATAATATGTAAACTCTTAAATGTAAGGCTGGTGCACGATTCGGTAATTGGCAGACAGATAATTTGTTAAAGCTGGGAGGCTCAATAATACGGAAGAGGATAAAGAAATCTCAGCTTTTATAAGCAATACTTCTCAAGAGTGGATATTTCGTGTGAGCCCAAGGTGGCCTTGTCGGCCGACATCTCACTCTCTAGCTCAACTTGCCACTTCTAGATTTGAAGATCTTTGACACAGTCAGCATTTGCTCGGCTTCAAAGTAAGCCGGCAAATAGAAGTAGTTACTAGAAGACCATAAAGCTGTTGGAGTTCTAAGACCTTGTGCTTATAAACACCTGCCATGCTGTATAGCTACTGGGGGCCGAGACTTTTCAACGTTAGAACGTAAACTTGATCCATACATGCCTGTAGCCTCAAGTGAGAGAGTAAGAATGCCGTTGCGAAGAGCCGAAGCTACTGGTCATGAGAAGCAGGGCAGACGCAGGGCCATAAGTATGACAATATCAAATTCCGTACAAAAGAAAAGAAGACCGGGTATAATTCGTGGGAGCATTACAACTCATGACTGTGCCATATCCTCACAGTCTCACAACCCCATCTTAAGAACAACAAATCATCACCCACTCTCTTTCCTAAAACAAACACTACTAATAGTCTGCCCCGCAGCGCCCCCAAACACAAAACTCTTATACCTAACCTCCCCCCACAACCCGTAACCCCGCCCCCGCAAACCAAGCCCTAAGTTCCTCCCCTGTCCAATTACAGCTCGTAACCAGCAGTAACCCGCCCTCTCTCACAAGCGGCATCACTTTCTCCCTATACCCCTCACACAACCTCCTGCCTTGGCCATCCCTCTCCTCACTCAGCGAAATAGCATCAAACGTGCCCTTATCAAGCACCACATCCCAGCCTCCAGATTCGTCGTTCGTGAGAATAGAAGACGGCGAGTCAGACATGAGATCGAAATACTCAAATTCAATTTCCACACCCTTGGACGCCGCAATCCGCCGCGCGAACTCAACGCTTTGCGCCGAGTAATCAACGCCTAGCATTCTGCCCTCCCATTTCTCGCCCTCCTCATCTACCTCGCCATCTTCATCCAACCCCCTAAGTCTTAACAAAAAATGCCCATTCCCGGTTCCTAGGTCGAGAAAGCTGCAGTTTTGCTGTGTGGTTTCGGGGCCGAGGAGCTTTTTGTCGGACAGGATGTGGGAGGAGAGGAAGGGTAGGACTTTGTTTTCGGCGCCTGAGTCGGAGAACCAGATTGTGCCTACGTCGCTGGTATCTGCAGAATGATTGTGCAGTTCAGTTGTGTACAGGGAGTCCCAGCTGTTGAGTATTAGTTGGTGGGGTAGAGTGAGGAGGGGGAGGGGGAGGATGGGTTTACTATTCTTTGGTACCGAGCGGGGAAGGTTCGAGGTGGTTTGGCCTTGTAAGAGGATTAGATCCCATGGTGCCGGGAGGTTTGGAAGTCAAATTGGCGTGTATCAGCTCTTAAGTGAGGTTGAAGTTGAGTTTGGTGGGTCAATATTTTTGGAGTTTGTAGTGGCAGAAAAAGTTGCCTCTGAAAGCGGTGAAGGGCCTCGATTGAGGGGGTCCAGAAGTCCACTTTCACGTGGCAGATTCAGGGCAAAGGAGGGGTCTTTCTGAATTTGGAATGGTCTTGTTCACATTTCCTGGGGAAGCCTTCATACAAGATATCTCATTTTTTTCTTTTTCATAAAGGAGTCAAGGAAACTAATACTGGTATTCTTCTGCTCCGTTCTAGAACATCGACGGGCTAACGCTTCTGGCACTGGTATGTAGCCTGTAGCCCAAAAAACAGTGTGCATTTTCCCCTTTCATGAGAAGCATTATTACCCTATCTATATGATCATGTCTCCATAGCCTCGTCAGAGATCGATGCAGCAGCAGTAGTTGCAAAAAACCGGACATCAACATCATCATCCTTCTGCAGCTTCTCTAGGTTTGGTAGGATGCTCTGCTGAATCAGAACTTGACCTCGGGCAGATACTGGTAAAGTTTTGCCAGACTTCTCCAGTGAGAAGACAGTTCCTTCATCTGGCAGGCGCTTGAGAACAGATATGAGTTCGGAGTAGCTCTTAGCAACGTTGAAACGGATATTTGGGATATCGTCAACAACAAGCTTGTCCATCATTGGGAGGATAGCTTTGGCAACTACGTCGAGACTGACGACTGGTGCAAGGGTCTAAAAAGTTAGAGATTTTCAAGAATGTGGAGTGGGCTGCTTACTGTAATTGCAAAGCAGGTTGTCATTCTGTACAGGTAGTTTGGGTGACCACCCATGGCCATAACCTTGGGAATAATAGCCTCGTTGGCCCAGTCTACACCGAATACTTCTGTGAGCTTCTTCAGGTTGTGAGTGGCAGCTTCACGAATTGAGAAGACGGTGTCGCCCAACCAGCCCATGCATAAACCGGCAAGCTTCTCATCAAAGAACTTGACACCGAGTTGGCTCGCCAATAAGGGGATGTACTCGATAATAGCCAAACGAACTCTCCATTGCTTATCTTCAGCAAGCTGAACGATGGCTGGGAGCAGGGATTGTGAGAGGAGCTCAATTCCAATGACTATTGATATTAGCAACTGCTATGTTGTGCATCTCAGGATAAATACCTTGGTTGACTAATTCTAGTTTCGAGATGATGTGGAGACGAACGTCAGGAAATTCATCTTTAAGCATCTGAAGGAACATAGGGAGGAGGTGATCGATGGTTCTACAAACTGTTAGCATTTTTAAAGCTGGTCAGAAGTCGGACATACTCTTGCTTGCCAAGAATAGGCGCGAGTCCGCTGATCTGGGTTCCGAGAGAGGCTCGAACGTGTTGAGAGGTATCTGAAACCAAGTCCTCCACAGTTGTCATAATGTCGTTAAGAAGAGTCGTTCTGTCCACCAACTTGCAGAATCCGGGAATTTGACCGGCAATGGCTGTTCGGACTTCTGCCTCGGTGTCTTTTAGAAGCTTTACAAACGCAGGAACCAGATCTCTTGACACAACCTCGTCGTCTACAGCTTTGGCAATCTAGTAGGAATCAGTACGGGCACGTGAGATAAATGTAATGTTTCACAGACCTTCTCGAATCTGTCCGCAACCATATACCGAACCCTCCAACTCTTGTCCTCGATCAGACTCCTCAATGCTGTAAGCAGGACCCCATGACTTGATTGTTGCTCCTTTGGTACCACTTCCGCAATCGCAATAAGAATTTCGACCGTCAATAACCGTACACTATCCTGGTCGTCGCTTGCAAGGTGTTGGAAAAGGGGTATCATTTCTTCGATGACAATAGTCGCAGGCATCTCCTTTACAAACTTCGAGAGGTTATTTGCAGACGATCGTCGGACCATTGGGGTTTCATCGTGGACTAGAAGTCCAAATTGGTGTCGAAGTTGTTCCTGCATGGGTGGGGAAGCTTTTTTGTATGGGACATTGTAAAGGCCTGTCGCGGAAATTTTGGATGTAAACCAGTCGGCTTTGGAGAGGCGGATTGTGAGGGGAATGAAGTATTCTTCGACTTGTTGTGAAGATAGCTCTTCGCAAATTTTGTTTAGAGACTCGACAGCCTAAAAACTTCTTAGCAACGCTTCTTGTATTTTTGACGTGAAAACCTACCTTTTCACGTACGAGCGGTTCTTCGATTGCGGCCAGATTCTCAAGAGGCGAGAGAAGGACGTGACCCCATTCTGGACCTCCAACGTATTCGACGAAGCCCCCAAGCTCTTCGCTCAAAGCTGTCAGAACCTCGTCTTCATCTTCTACGGACTCTACAACAAACAGTCAGTACCTGCGGTGGGGCCAGACGAGGGCTGAACCAGGCATACCATCTAAGAAAGGAATCAATTCATCTCTTGTACGCTCCGCTCCCAGCGCGAGGGCAATCGTCGAGAGTCTGTGTATGGCATTAAGTCGTAGGAGAACATCATCATGCTATGTAATCGTGAGCAAATGCGCCCGCCATAGTCTGCCATAGTCTGCTATGGAGGTAGTATCAAGGCTCTGGTACCTTTAATTCATCAATGAGCACAGCTATTGGGTAGAGCTCATCAGTCTTGTCTGGGCCGTCCGCCATGGTAGAGATCTCTTGAACGTTATTCGTGAGAGGGGATCGCGGGTAGGTTCAGCAAGCCAGGCCTTGACCTGTTTACTTGGGGCTTGGTGGTTGAGGTGATCGCGTGTTGACTGATTGCTTTGCCTCGAGCAAGATGTTGTTGATTAGCGAACAGGAGGCGTCTTCGTGCCGAGGAGGGCTTGAGAGAAAGCTTGGGCATCAGGTGTTAGCAAGAGCTGTGCAAGAGACGCGCATAGAGCTGGCAGTCTGTCCATATTTGTGAACATGGCGGGGGGTCATGACGGAGCTACTCCTAGAAGGGTGCTGTGCACCTGCAGGCAAAGCTGGGAGAGATCAATTGGACATACCTGTGCAGCAAAGAATGATCGAAAAGAAGACAGCTTGTGCGGACGTTTTTTGTGTAGAGGGGAAAAGTTGAGGGTTGAGATATCGTAGCATGCAAGAAGCAATGCTTTCTTTCACCGGCTTGAGGATCGATTTCCCCCAAATAAACGAGGCGAGGCCACCACCCCAGCCAGCAAGACCTCAGCCCAATTATCCGGTGGACCCCAATAGACCAAGAGCGCAATAATTTCTTTGGGAGAGAGGGGAGTTTGGAGTCATACAGAAAATAATTCTTAACTTCGCGCCAACTGAACACAACCTCCGCATACTTTTTATTTCGTATTGCAAGACGTCTCCACAGCTGGTAAATAGGTGGTAGAACCTACCAGCGACCGTCAAAATGCCTACCATCAGCGTGGACAAAGTTGAGCTCTACAAGGCATTGGGGCAGGAGTAAGTCCTGTAGCAACCATGTAGGATATGCTCTAACATTATTTGCAGATATACCACCGAGGAATTCGAGACATTATGCTTCGATTTTGGAATTGAGTTGGACGAGGATACGTCAAATACAGAACGCCCAATCATCAATGGCAAGCAGGAGCCCGCACAACTCAAAATCGAGATCCCCGCCAACAGATATGACATGCTGTGCTTTGAAGGCATAGCTCTCATGCTAAACATCTTCCGGGAAAAGACGCCGCTGCCAAATTATATACTGGTCACACCCGAGAGTGGGAAGTTGGAAACGATCACAGTACATCCTGATACGCTGAAAGTACGGCCATATGTTGCTGGGGCTATCTTGCGGAATATCAAGTTCACTAAAGAGAGCTATGAATCCTTCATTTCATTGCAAGATAAATTACATCAAAATCTGGCGAGAGGACGTACTTTGGTTGCTATTGGAACACATGATTTGGATACAATCAAGGGACCGTTCACCTATGAGGCATTACCACCAAAGGACATCAAGTTCAAACCCCTGAACCAGACCAAAGAGATGACCGGAGAAGAGATGATGACTTTCTACGAAAAGGACAAGCACTTGGGCAAATATCTACACATCATCAAAGACAAGCCAGTATATCCCGTCATTCTGGACTCCCAACGGACAGTTTGCTCAATGCCCCCCATCATCAATAGCGACCACTCCAAGATCACCCTCAACACCCGCAATGTCTTTATCGATATCACCGCCACCGACCGCACAAAGCTCGAGATAGTCAACAACATAATCGTAGCCATGTTCTCCCAATACTGCGACTCACCCTTCACCATTGAGCCCGTCGAAATAATCTCACCCCACAACTCCTTGTCACGCACCGTCCCCGACATTTCCCCCCGGAAAGCTTTCGCAGAAGTAGACTACATAAACGCCTGTTGCGGCCTCACCCTCGCGCCCGAAAAGATCTGCTCCCTCCTAACCAAAATGTGCTACTCGGCCACCCCCTCTTCCACTGACGCAAATCTAATCGAGGTCCTCGTCCCCCCCACAAGAGCAGACGTGCTCCACCAATGCGACATCATGGAAGACGTAGCCATCGCCTACGGCTTCAACAACCTCCCCCGCACCGCCCCCTCAAAAGCCTCCACCATCGCCCAACCCCTCATGGTCAACAAGCTCGGCGACATCGTGCGCATGGAAGCCGCCATGGCCGGCTGGTCCGAAGTCATGCCCCTAATCCTCTGCTCCCATGACGAGAACTTCGCCTGGCTGAACCGCAAAGACGACGGCAGCACCGCCGTGCGCCTCGCGAATCCCAAAACCGCCGAATACCAAATCGTGCGCACGAGCCTACTGCCCGGTCTCCTCAAGACTATCCGCGAGAATAAGAAACACAGCGTCCCCATAAAAGTCTTCGAGGTCTCCGACGTAGCCTTCAAAGACCTCTCCCTAGAACGCAAGTCGAGAAACGAGCGCCATTTTGCCGCAGCTTTCTACTCCAAAACCTCAGGCTTCGAAATCGTGCACGGACTGCTCGATCGCGTGCTCCTGATGTTGAAGACGGCCTTCTTGACGCACGAGGAGGGTTTGAACTCGAAGGGCGCCGACAAGCTTGACTTCGAGGTGAGGCAGGATCACGAGAAGGGCGATGGGTATTGGATTGAAGAGATTGATGAAGAGACCTTCTTCCCGGGACACGCGGCTGCTATCTGGCTTAGACTGGGCGGCAAGGCGGTCCGTATTGGGGAGTTTGGCATTTTGCATCCCAGTGTGTTGGAGAAGTTTGAGCTGAGGTTTGTTCCATCTCCTATTTCCCCAAGTATCCTTTGCCTCCCGTCAAATGCCTTATTCTAAAGAGCGCTATGCTAACATAAAAAATAGGTACCCAGTAAGCACACTAGAGATAAACCTTGAGGTCTTTTTATAATCTCTCCATATCACGTCGCACCACGCCAAAAAGGTCATTTATGTCAGTTCAGCTCCAGCCATAAACTTGTATGTAGTGAACATACATGCATCATAGAAGCACAAAACAAAAGTTAAAAAAGATGAATGAATTCCATGAATTTGTAGTTTCTTCTCACTCCGTCATTCATAATGCTCTCTATCTATCATCAGACAAGCAAAAGCAACGCCAACGCCAATGCAAATGCACCGTCCCTCTCTCCCTCCCTCCCTCCAAAAAAACAAAATAAAAGAACGCCTTCCTTTCGTTCTTTACTTCGGCCATCCATTCATTCATCTCATATGATATCATAACCAAGCCCTGTCTGCCTGCCTGTTTAAACTAGGCCGGTCCGGACAATTAGGTTTATTTTATTGCATCTCAACCTCCATCTTCCCCCCGTTCGCGTTCCCCGGACTCTTACTCCCACCACCTGCACTCCTCCCAATGCCCAACCCCGCAATCCCATCCCTGAGACTAGCGAACCTGCCCGCATCGTTACTACCATGACCATTACTTGTACTCCCTGTTGGCCCAACAGTAAGCGCACTATGTGCACTCTCCACCCCCGTCAAAACCCCCCTCCCTATCCCCATCCCCGCGCCTCCATTCCCAGGCGTCGTCGAACCCGGACTAGGGAGCGGACTCGGACTAGCACTACGAGCACCTAGATAGCGTTCAGTTTGAAGGTTAACAGGCCCGTTCATCTCCGCATCCCCACGATTAAACACCTCACTCCACCACCTAACCTTCTCCAAATGCGGAAAGATAAGCCGTTCTTTCCCGCGGATATTATCGTCGATTCGGGGCTCGTATTCAGGATTAGTAAACTCCTTCCTGCGGCTCAAGAAGTAGCTCCATACACTATGCGTACGCTCCGCGATCTTGGCATCAAGCCGTTGCTTCTCGTTGTTGTAGAGAAAGGTGCCGTATTGGCAGGAATAGAGGTGGTAGAGCAGGCGACGGAGAAAACGCTCGTTGAATTCGAAGCGTGTGGGATGTTGGCGTAAGAGCTGGTACGTGCAATCGAGGAACTGGTGGAAGGTGGGAGAAATGTTGTTCAAGTCCGTCGCCTCCTTGCTGTCTTTACTCGGCGTCTTGGGCGCCTCGTCTTCAGGCAGATTTTCAGTATCACTAGAATCCTGACTCTCCTTATTCTTATTAAAGAACCGCTTAGCGCTTAACAAAGCGTTCTCAATAGCATCGTTGTTTGTGGAGCCGGGTTGGATGGCTGAGCCTGCCAAAGCGTCGTTTTGCGTTTTGAACCATTTTTCCGAGGACAGGTAGCCGGAGCGATGCTGGAACATGTGGCCAAAAGAGAGCCAGTCTTTTTCGATTAGCACTATGAAGCCGGAGATGGTGCGGTAGTAGGGGTCTAGGAGGAGTTGAGAGAGAGCACTCAATTGAGAGGTGCGGTCCCAGCCGTCGGAGCAGTGTATTAGGACGTGTGAGTGTTGGATGCCGACTTGTCGGGCGATCAAGGCTGAGCCGTCGAGCACGCCAGTTATGTGTTTGAGCCAGCCGCTTTTTGCGAGCAGCTCTCTGTTAGGAGGGAGCTTGGAGATGTCGGAGTCTTTGATTGCTTCAATTACTTTGTTAAGGGACTCGCGCATAACATGGATATTGTCGATACCCAAATATGCCTTTGTCGCAAATTTGTAGTGATCCATGTTTTCTGAACCAAGACCAACTGCTTGCATGGCAAGCGCATTGACAGTTGGTCTAGCATCCACGATTAAGTTGTGCTGTTGGGCACCATAGATGTGTGGTTTGTCTGAGACGGCCTCAAAATTTGAGGAAGCAATAAGTTCGTCCTCTAACCTCTCTGTTTCTGAAAGTTCACCTTCTGTACTGGGGTAGTTCAGATCAGTTTGGCTGGAAGCTGGACTTGTACCGGAGTTTACAGAGGAGCTGGTGTCGCCGTCCCCTAGTGAAGTAGATGCAGAAAAGCAAGCACTGACAAGTTTCTCATCTTGAATGCTTCGGTTTCCTCTTAGACCAGCCATCGGTTGGGAACTTCTCGTTATGGAGCAGTTATTGACTGGGTGCAGATATGTCAAAACCGGAATCCGTACCCTGGAACGGTATCTTCCTGCATAGTTGAGCACATTGTCGGAGATGTTTGATGGTACTGGTAAAAGTGCTGGGTATGTCGGAGAGAAGCCATAATCAACGTTGATCTTGGATATCCTCCATCCTCTATCCGCGCCCTTGTCACTAATTCCCTGTCGTTTCCATTCCGCCTTTGCATCATAGACCTCCCAACCATTTATCTCCTTCTCCGGTCCCACTGGCTGGAAGCTGAAAGCATATAACTTTTCGGTTCTCGATAGCTTGGTTGCGCCCTTGATGCTCTCAAACACATCCCTAGCCTTTTTGTCCGTTGTAAAGTTCAACGTAATAAACATGAAGTCGCGACAGCGCAGCCGTATAGAGGATGCAAGGCCAGAGCCTTGTGGAGTTGGGCGAAATGTACATAATCCTATCATGGTATATGCGATCCATGATTCTTTGGATCTGGCGGGGCGCTTTGGAGGGGAATCTCCGGGAGGTACGGGGGGCGGGGCTTGGACGAGGATGAGATGGTGTTGGGTTAGGTGTAGGGTTACTATAGATATTTCTCCGGCTGCTAGAACCTGCACATCTTCGACCTGGCGAGATATTATTAGAATGTTTTCTTCGCAAACTAGAGGGGGCTGACCTTTGCTATCTTGAGCTTGTCAGCCATCTTGTCCTCCGCTGCTGACGTCGCAGGCTCGAAATAGGAAGATGTAAATGGGCTATCATGACACTTTGGAGTTTCGTAGTATGTGAGCGATTGGGAACTTTCAAATAGGGTGGTTTGTGGTGCTTGTGAATGTTTGTTTAACGTGTGATACATGTACCTAGGTAAATAGTCAAGTTGCGCTTTTGGTCTGAATCCCTCGCGGATCGCGGGGCTACTTTTTGCCGGGATGGACGGGAGGGACTATTGGTTGACAGGAGATGGGATACTCGTAGAGGAATAGGAAAGGTGAAGCAATGACAGCGACGAGATAGATATACATGAGAATTATAAATAAAATGTAAACTAACGGCTTTGATAGATAAAAGTTATAATGCCAACGCTTGCATAGCCTTATGTCTTGTATAAGATTTGGTTAATCATATCGATGAGCCGTTTAAGTTATCCAAGTAAGAGGAACGCTCCAGTTTCTAAAACAGCTGCTGAAATCCATACTTTAGTTAATTGAAAATGATGAAAGAATGGTTCTTTTGTACATATCTTTGATACTGTTGATATAGTGGAAAACCGGAACTAAGCTAAGTGAAGCCATCGATGGTGGGGCAGTTGCTCATTAGCGCCAAAGTCACGGTCTCGCTTAATAGCACACTGTGATTTTCCCAAACCACGAAACCATTGAAATCTTGACGATCGACCAATTCAACGACAACACATTGAACCTTTCCGTCCAAAAGGTTCGATTCCACACAAATCACCCGTCATCATGGCATCCGGAGTACCAGGAACCGCAATGTAAGTCTTTGCATATTCGAACTGCTTCCACATCCACTTCTTCCCCCCACCGTCCTCGATGTCTATATACAGCAATAAATATTCCATCTATCCACAGCACACCTGACTGACTCTTCTCCCACAGTTCTAAGCGGAGAAAGTTTGTCGCCGATGGAGTCTTCTACGCTGAACTGAACGAGTTCTTCCAGCGCGAACTCGCCGAGGAGGGCTACTCGGGCGTCGAAGTGCGCGTTACCCCCACCGTGACCGACATTATCATCCGCGCCACCCACACCCAAGAGGTTCTGGGCGAGCAAGGCCGCCGCATCCGCGAACTCACCTCCCTCATCCAGAAGCGCTTCAAGTTCCCCGAAAACTCCGTCTCGCTGTACGCCGCTAAGGTGCAGAACCGTGGTCTCTCCGCTGTCGCACAATGCGAGTCGCTCCGCTACAAGCTGCTTAACGGTCTGGCCGTGCGTCGTGCGTGCTACGGTGTCCTGCGCTTCATCATGGAGAGCGGTGCCAAGGGTTGCGAGGTCGTCGTTTCGGGCAAGCTGAGGGCTGCGCGTGCCAAGAGCATGAAGTTTACCGATGGCTTCATGATTCACTCTGGTCAGCCGGCCAAGGACTTCATCGATTCTGCTACCCGCCACGTTCTGCTCAGACAGGGTGTTCTCGGTATCAAGGTCAAGATCATGCGTGGTTCGGATCCTGAGGGCAAGAGTGGTCCCCAAAAGAGTCTGCCAGACAGTGTTACGATTATCGAGCCAAAGGAGGAGACGAGCGTGGTCCAGCCACACAGTGAGGATTATGGACAGAAGAAGGCCCAGGCTGAAGCTGCGGCGGCTGCTGCGAGGGATGCTGAGGTTGGTGAGGGAGAGGGTGCACCAGCAGAGGAGCAATAGAGGATGAATGGCTTTGACCACTGGAGTTTTGCTGCTTTTGATTGATGAATGGATGAGAGGCTGGATCTTGGGCGTGTGAAAAACTATACATTCGCATGTGACGGAGGTTTTGCTGCTATGGTAGAGGCCTTTGCATGGAATGAACACAAACCAAAAATAAAATCCAAAATGCAGTTTCTACCTGTCACAGGGCATCTTTCTCAATCATGACATGCAATTCCCAACCGCATTATCTTTATAAAAAATAATATGTGACTTGCCTTACTTCCTCATCAACTATAGTTTACCAAACCTTACCTCTTAAAACTCCCTAACGACTAAAAGCGGCCCCTTATATTAGTTTTAGCTTGTGTGGTGAGTATATTTCGTTCCCACCAGATGATACAGAACTCCTCTCCCTCCCTACCCAATTCAAGGCAAGACCCTTATTCCCCTCATACCACAGAATACAACACACACCCATCTCAATCAAAAGACAAGAACTTTACTCACCTCCCCTCTCCTCGCTACCTCCCTACCTCTTCCAAATCCCAATCCCAATCCCAATACCTCACAAACACCATCAATCTCACCCATCCATCAAACACCAAACATCGCACAAGAAAGAATATACAATTTCATTTCACTCCATTGTATTCAACTCCATTCCACTCACTCTACCTCTACGTACACCTAGGAACCCATCCTCCACATATATAATATATCATACACACCCCACACTACACACACACACACACACACACACAAATACACACAAAAATAAAATAAAAACCATGCCTGCCTGCCTGCTTGCCTGTCTATACTTGCGTATAGTTCAGTTGGTTCCAAACACACCCATTATCCACACCCCAAAACGCCCACAAAAAACAGTCGAGGAAAAGAATCCCAACCCAACCCTCATTCATTGTATATCATTCGATCCGTTCATTCCCTTGGTATGCACGCAGTGCATTTCCCATTCATGCAAGTAAAGGAAATGAAAAGGGAAAAAAGGAGAAGGGAAAAAAAGACATTCCATCCATATACAACACCCAACTCACCAACTTACTCACTCGTTCCACAATTCTTTAGAACAAGAGACAAAAAAGTTGGTAGAAGGTAGTAAGTAGTGGTATAGTGGCTCGCTCATAGCGTCACGTCACCGCTGCAAAGGCGATCCCCTCCTGGAAGAATGGCCGCTCCGCGATCTCCGATCCCCAAAACTATGCTTCGACCCATTATTCCCGTTCCCGTTCGTATACAGCTTCCCATTGCCATTCAAGCCCGCCCCCTCCTCCTCATCACTACCCTCTAGATCCGTCAACCCGAGTCCGTTCTCTTCGTCATATGCATGGATTAGGCCTTCGCGATCGCCTATGAACGCTGGATCCGCACTCCTTCTAGCTTGCATGCTTCGGCGGGTTTGGATACCCGAGATGATGTCCGTGGCTATGCCGTCGTGCGTCGTGCCGTGGATCATTCGGGAGCCGTTGGGATCGCCGCGCGAGAGGTTGAGTAGGTAGACGCCCGTGAAGATTACGAGGAAGCCGGAGAGGAGGGAGAGGGTGTTTACTGCGTCGGAGGTGTTGAAGCCGCCGTAGAGGATGAAGGAGGCACAGAGGGTGGCTGTTGTGAAGCATACATAGTAGAGGGGGTTTACTCTGTATGTAACACATTAGCAATGTTTCCCACTTTTAGAATTTGTGGGAAACTAGAGTGAATGATTTTGCTTACATCGAAGTAGGAAACTGACTCAACGCCTTGTTGAAATAATTCATCTGCGTCAAAATGCACACTGTTGTCAAGATGATAAACACATAAGTACTCGGATGCGTAAATTGATTTTTCCCCGCCAACGTCAACTTCACCGCTATCCCGAATGCCTTGACGGACATAACGGAAACTGAGCCAACAGTCGAGCATATCGAGAGGTAGATCAGCGGGTTCTGTTTTCCGTATTTGGGCGCGACGCGGTATATCATTACTACGGCGAATACTGCTACTGCTAGGCAAAAGAGGAGGAAGCCTTTTGCGGACATGACGCATTAGCAGGCCTTCTTAATACAACGTTGGAAGAGGGAAGGGGGAAATACCAGGCTGAATCGCATAATGCAAGATCTCATCAATAGTCTCAATCGGTTGATCCGGCGGCGCATGCAACACAATGATTACACTCCCAATCAGACATATCGCGCACCCCAGCTTCCCCAGTATTCCCAGCTCCTCGTGCAAGAAATACGAGCCGAGGACTGCTCCGATCAGTACACTGAGTGCGCCGAGTGGTGTTACGAGGATTGCGGGCGCGAAGGCGTAGGCTGCGAAGTTTGCGATTTCGCCGATGATGACTTTGAGGTTGTGAGTTTGGGGGTAAGGAAGGAAAGGGGGATTGGGGAGACATACGAGCTATTATACCGGCCCACCATATGGGGCTTTTGAGGTATGTGAAGCCATCTCCTTCAAAGCCATGGCGCTCTTCTGCTTGTATGAGACCCTATTTTCATCAGCATTGCCCTTATACCAACCCTTGATCTCGTAGATGGTGTGCGTACCTTCTTCGTAATAACAAAACTTGTTCCTATAACAAATCAGTCTTTTGCCCTAGATGCCCGGAGGATGAGGTGAACATACCTATCGCAATCGTACTCGTGATGGCCAATGCCAATCCTATGTATCTGCCAAGCGTTTATCAGCACCAATTCATCCCACTTCACGCACACCAAGCAACGGTCCACATACTTGTCTTCTAACATGGTATCGTGCCTCGAGCAGGCGTGCTCTTGCTAATCGCCCCAACGTGTATATGAATTCCGAGCCCGCGCTCTCCCTTTCTTTCCGTCCGTGTATGTATCTTCGGAAACGACTGTTGCTCTCGAGCCGCTGGTATCGTGACGAAGAACTGGTCGTCGCTCGTAATCGCAAAAAATCAATTCGTGCACGCCGGCGGGCTTTCCTTTTTGTTTCAAAGCCTTTCCCTTGGCTTCCCTTGCCCCAGATACAGATCTAGATCCGCTGTTGTAATATGATTGTCCCGCGAGATGATCTCCCTTAGCCAACGACTCCACAGTAAAATGCGCCGAGGTAGTTGTACTGTGCGGATGAGAAGGTATTAAAGCGAATGTCGTCTCCAGTACTGTTCGATTCGTTGTTGAGTAGAGGCCACAATTACGGTCGTGTGTGCGGCTCTTCGAAGAAATGTGAATTAGCCAAGACGGCGAGAGGTGATGTGAAACGGTTGGTTGGGTGAGGGTAAGTAGGTAGGGCAGGGTTGTCGTGTCGTGTCGTGTCTTGTCGTGTTTAAAATGTTCATGTTCAAGTCTAACTACGATCGCACATGCCCTGCCCTGGCCCTTCCCTGCTCTGCCCCTGCCTTACCTCACTTTACGTTCACGGTACCTTACTCGGGCGCCTATTTTTGGGTCGTTTCTTTCTCCTCCGCCTCCTTTTTCGCGCCAACTCTAAAACTTTTACTCTCACTCTCCTTTTCCATAGGTAGGCCGCGTGGATTGTGGGGCCTCTGCGCCTGTAAGGGGTAATTATCTTCTTCTTTCCCTCAAGAGTCGCAACGCGAAGTGGAGTGTAGTACGCCTAGAACAAGGACGATTTATTATTGGTTTTACACTCACGCAACATTAAGGTCATAAATAATATTTTGGAACAACTTCTTTTAGGTGTGCAATCAATTACGAGCGTACGTGCTCCTCCGCTGGCTGGCTCATCACTAATCATACAAATATTGAGAAGCTTCAAAACAAGATCCACCATGGTTTGCAAATCTTCTTTCTGCGCACAATAAGAACCAAGCGGTGCTTCGTATTCCATCTCGCTATGGGTATTCCTCCAAACTTTTGTCCCAGAATTGCAAGTTCCTCCAGCAAAGACGCCCCAACATTTTCCCTGCCGACCAGATGCGGAAACAAAAGAGACTGACGCCGTGGAATGCTAATGCTAGAATGGTTTCGTGGGGTGTGAAGTTCGTCTGTATCACGAGGGTATCAAGGGGGTTTTTGGGGGGGGAGGAAATTAGAAAAGGGGTCGATGTGCTTATACCTATTGACTTACCGTATAGGATCCAGCGTCATGTTAGTAGTAATCGTAAAATTTTCAGGCATCGTAGAAAGCCTAGAAGTATCCAGTTGGAAAGATCCTCGACGCATTGCCTTGAGGATATGGAATGAAAGAAATGGGTTGATCGGATGCTCGCAGGGCCCGCGCGAATATGATCGGAGTCTTCTGTGGAGACACGAGTAGAAAATGATAAGAGGTTCGAAGCAGCCAAAATCAGGTGGCTTCCATCAAAGAAGTTCATGAACGACGTCTTTTGGCTTCTGGGGATGCGTTAGCCACAGCGAGTTTTCAGCTTGATTACATGATGCGTACCTTTACTTCGCGAGGTATCATCAGCCTCTGCATCAGCTCTGGGTCTCTTCCCATTTGAACCTGAAGCATCGTTTGATGCGGGTGAAGGAGCTGAAATGCCGTTGGAAATCTGCTCCTTTTCATCCTCATCATCTTCATAATTGATCTCATCTTCTTCATCCTCGTTTGCCCCACTGCTCGCGGCGTTGTCTAATGTGTGACTGTCGCCTGTATCCTCGAAATCACCCAGATCATATTCGCCCAGGTCCTCCTCTCCGTCTTGGTCATCGGCACTCACAGTGACACTGGATTCTGCTTTATCGGCAGGGTCAAGATCTCCAGCTAGATTGCTATTTTCTCCAAGGTTGTCGTGCAATTCAGACTGTGGTTCTCCTTGTCCCAACTCGGCATCATCACCAAGGTATTGGAGCTCATTTTCGTTATCAAGTGCTAGGCTCGGATCATTCCCGGAAGCCGCAATCAGGTCCTGGTCTTGGTCCTCTACATGATCGTCATGCACTGGTTCGTGTTCGTTATAATCCTCAAACTCGGCTGTACCAAAAATATCTTCTGCTGTTAGATTTTCGGGTTCCCCTTGCGCACTATGTTCGAGCTCCTCTTCAGCATACTCTTCATACTCATCAACAACTTCTTCGTCTGCTCCAGGGTGTTGCTCGATTTCACCGTTCGCATGGTGCAAAGAGTGCTCGATTTCTTCGGCTGCACGAGTTAGCGAGCGTCGACGAAGATGCTCATTGATTCTGTCGTATTCTGCATGTAGAAGTTCGTTGCATGCATTGCAGAAACAAGATTGAGGTAAAATACATGGTGAAAAGAGATCGTCATAATTACCATCTTGAGGTTTGGACGTCGCAGAGCTCGGATTCACTAGATCGTCCTCGCCCTCCGAGTAATCGATCAAATTGTCTTCATCCTCCACGTCTTCGCTCGTTGCAGTATCTTTCTCCGTTGACGGGAGCAGCGTTGATGATTTCGAGTCTGCGGCGGGTTTGTTCTGGAAATCGACATGAATAGGGGTAGGGTCGGCATCCACGCGTTTAGATCTCTCAATATTTTCGGCCTTTTCTGCAGCCTCTTGGTCTCCCTGCTCGTCACGTACTGAGCCGGGAGGAGCTGGACTGGCATGATTGCTTTCAACCACCAATGCTTCTGCTGTATCAACCGATGGAACTTGCGGTACATCACCATTTTCCTGAACATCCAGGTTAGATTCTTTGCTTTCTATACCCTCATCCACAACTCCCCCGTCATCGAGTCCGGAGTCATCAACCGCTTCACTCTCATCATCCCAGCTTAATTCAGAAAGACCTTTGCCTTCAGCGGCGGCGTTCGTCAAATTTGCCAGTCTCTTGTTGAAATTCAACCTCGTGCCAAGAGCCATGCATAGCGGTCGGTGTGACTCCACACCATCATTCCGCATCAATGTATCATACAGAGCAATGATTTGTCCAAGACTAGCGTTTTGATCAAAGGAAGAATTCTGATGAAGTATTGTTAGTTGAGATTACATTACAGTTAGTTTAGGGAAACGCACCTCTTCTATTTCAAGTGCGAGATCCTCTACAGAAACGCACAACTCATCTTCATCTCCAAGGTCGTCCTGAATGACATCCCGCATATCTGTGAAAAAATGACCGAGAGGCTTTTCAAGTATAGAAACATCGGAAAGAAAAAAGGAATCTGGGTCATCGGAATTTGACTTCGCAAATAGTGTATATTCACGCGACTGGTAAACGACAATAATCGCTGGGGCTGAAATATTTTCCTCTTCATTTTCAGAGACAAGATTGGTGAGGCCATCAGTGCCTCCAGAAACAGCCTCAAACCCGGATTTAGGGGTCGGGTAGTTAGCTTTATGTTCCAGGAAAACGGGTCCAGGTTCGGGAATCGATGTTGCAGGGCTCCTTCGTTCATCAGGAGTGTCAATATGTGTTGTTTTATCTTGTGGGGTACTAGTATGAGAGCCATGCTCGGAGGGGAGCTTCGAGGACTCCTCATTTTCTTGGCCATCATTCCCATTTATGTGCTCGGTCTTTTCAACTTCTTCTTGATCAAAAGTCTGCTCGGAATCGTCTAGCAAGACGTCGCTATCACTGATTATAGGGTTAGGGGGCACTTGTTCCTCCCACATATCTCCTTCGACTTGTGGATTTGGTAATGGATCGACGTGTTCGTCCACCGTCAAGTGGGATTGGTCACCCATGGCAAAGGACGTTGCAGCGACTGACGCCTCCGACTCCATCCTTTGATCGTCGTCATCAAGAAGGTCCTCTCCCTCACCCATGGTAAATGAATTTGGATCTTCATCAATCATGAGATCGTCGTTGCCCATGGTCGGAGAAGGCTGAGGGCCATCAAAGCCGGAGTCGGAGGCAGCATCCTCGATCGCATAGTCTTCTTCATCTACTGCTGCAGTTGTGAATTCGATGTCGATGTCAATATCCTCATCACCACCATCATGGCCGTTCCCCGGGGAGATTTCCATGCTATCGTTATGGTCCGACATGATGGGCGGAAATGTGATGGCACCAAATGGAGTGGCAAGCATGTAGGTAGTGTCGCTAGGTCGAACACAACGCGCTCGCTATTGGGGGTTATCAGTTGAATTTATGGCGAAACTCTCGGGAAAGCCGTGTGGCATAATCCTAGAAGAAGATGGAAATCTGCCAAAGCATGTGCCTCTTTTAGGATCGTGTTGTGAAGGTTAATGTACTCTGTATCAAAGGGCTTCGGAAGGTGCAGGAACGCGGGACAAAGGTGTCGACACGTCGGCTTAGAAGAGCAAGGAGGTTCTATGAATTCGTGAAGGTTGACAAATACGTGTCATTACAGGAAGTTTCGATGTGACAAGTATGCAGTGAATGGGCTCTCGCAGACGCCTTGTCAAGGTGGTCAAATTTCGGGGTTGGAGGATAAATCGAAGCTCAAGAATGCCACTCCACTCCACTGCCTGCTCAGCTAGTTCACATGGGGCTAGTGTAAAGAGTCACATGATCAAACCTTAAATCCCACCACCACTATGCGACTTGGACCTGTGGACACGGTCTGGATATCCCAAGCTGCAATTCCAATTCTCTACAGTTCACCCAGATACCAAATTTTAGCCTCGTAAATATGGTGCGCATATTCTCCAGGGCTATACCGATGCGATCCCCTCTGACAGTGATCTCTAGGTTGTCCTCGCGGCTTCAATCTGCACCAGGGGTGGAAAAGCTGTCCTCTCCAGACAGTTTCGTGAGATGCAGAGGTCGAGAATCGAAGCACTTCTTGCGTCTTTCCCAAAGCTGGCAGACTCTAGTACCCAGCATACAACCGTTGAGCAAGACAATGTCCGTTTTGTGTACCAACCGCTTGACGAACTCTACATGGTTCTCATTACGAATCGCCAGTCCAACATCCTCCAAGACATCGATTCCCTCCATCTCTTCGCACAAGTCGTTACAAGCACATGCAAGACCCTGGACGAAAGAGAAATATTGAGGAATGCATATGAACTTCTTAGTGCTTTCGATGAGCTGGTTACCCTTGGGTACAGGGAGAACCTCACAATCAGCCAAATCAAGACATTCTTGGAAATGGAGAGTCACGAAGAGAGAATACAAGAGATAATTTCTAGAGTAAGGACTTCTACAAAAATATGTAAACCACGGAGAATTATATGCTGATATCATTCCAGAACAAGGAATTAGAGGCCACCGAGGAGCGGAAACGGAAAGCGAAGCAACTGGAAATGCAAAGGAAGGAGGTCTCGAGGAGCGGCAGAAACACTGTTCCCCGTACACCCGTCTACCCCACATATACACCACCCGCTCGCTCTGCGGTTACGGATACCTATGATTCGTATGAGGCCGAGAAGAACAAGTCTTACAAGTATGTTGCAATATTGACTTTCTAGTCCACTATGTTGACACTATTCTAGGACTAGTGCTCCCAAAGGCAAGGGAATGCAATTGGGCAAGAAATCAAAGACCACAGATATGTTTGAGCGAGTTCGTGGGGATCTTGGTCCTGGGGAAGAAGAACCAGCATCCGCTCCCCTTGTGCCAAACAACCCTACACACGCACCCGTCGAACACGCCCCTCGAGCCTCTACATCTCTTGACCGCGATGCTATCCACGTCACCATTGCAGAAACAATAAACGCAAAGCTGTCCCGGGAAGGCTCGCTAAACTCTTTAGAAATCAAGGGAGATCTGCAGCTGAAGATTTCGGATCCGACATTGACTAAAGTCAAGTTAGATCTAGTTGCAAATGCCAGCCATGGTGTTCAATTCCGAACGCATCCAAACGTTGATAAGGGCATCTTCAACACCTCCAAGGCTGTCCAAATGAGCAATATATCCAAAGGCTTCCCCGTCAACAACTCCGTGGGTGTTCTTAGATGGCGAGCCACGCCCAGGTCGGACGACACCAGTGCCGTTCCAATTACATTCACGGTGTGGGTTAACAAGGGCTCAGATGACACCTATAATATTACAGTGGAGTACGAGCTCACTGGAGGGGATCCTCTGAAAGATGTGACCGTCATCATCCCTTATGCAACGAGTGAGCCATCAGTTTCAAGCTTTGATGCCACGTATGAGGTATCAGGAGATAGCTTGGAATGGACCATTGGCTTGGTTGATGATGACAATGCTACTGGTTCGTTTGAATTTGAGGCTCAAGCTGGTGACGAGAATGAATTCTTCCCCATGCAGGTCAAATTCGCAAAGACAAAGCCATTTATTGATGTTGATGTAAGACAACCTCCAATCAGATTTGCCTATTCTAAACATGGACTAACATCTCATTCTAGGTTACCGACGTTACGCTTCTCGAAATGGATGAATCCGTGACTTTCTCCAAAGATATTAAGTCTGTTGCTGACTCCTATGTAATTGAGTAGATGGGCGTAAAAGGGGCAAAAGTTATGTAGGGTTTGGGAAAGCGTGACGTGGGACCGGGCCAGACATAGCCATAAATGATGATGAGCTAGCAATAGAGGAATTCAAGACTTCGATTTCCCAATATATGGCCAAATTAGCCATTCCAAATGCTACTTGTAGTGCGATGCCAGATTGTTCCAAATCGTTCTAAGTGGCATATATTTTGTATCTCGCTTAATGATTGGACAGAAGCAACGACGCCACAACGCGTGCTCCGTACCTTCTTTTCCTGGGCAGATACTTTTAACTTCAGAATATCCCCAAGGTCCCTGGCACCACAGGCAATAAATATCAACTTCTCTTGATTTAATGTAGTAATAAATTCGAGTATAAGCCTCAACATGGCAAAACCCATACCCCTCGAAATCCTCAGCGAAAAAAGCCTGCAGCACCCCGTCGACCCTACCCTCGTCGCATACTGCCCCTCCATGGACCTAATAGCCCTCACCACCACCGATCAACAAGTCCTTATCTATCGTCTGAATGGGCAACGCGTATATGGTGCAGCCCGGAAAGCGGGTCCGCTGAAAGTCGAGAGCATAAGATGGAAGCCAAATGGTTTGTTTGTCCCTCACATCCACCGCCTCAAATCCCCTCCCCAAAAAGTTTAATTAACCAAATGTCATATTATAAAAGGCAAACTCTTAGCCATCTCCTGGTCTGATGGCTCCGTTCGTCTCATAGGCGCCGAAAGCAGCAAAATCGTGCACCAATTCTCAACTGGTGATAATGTCAACGGGGTCACGTGCATGGGCTGGGGCTCGAACCTCACTGGCAAGTCTTCGAAGAGCGAGCGCAAGGGAGATGCGACGTGGGAGGAGTTGCTTGGGGATGAGGATGTTCTGGCTGGAAATAAAGTACCACTGGATTTGCCAAGAGATTTGGCTTTGATTGATATTGAGAGGAGTTTGCCGAAGTTGAGTGTTTTGGCTGCGGGGGGAGGATCGTGAGTCTACTCCTTATTCCACTGGTGCGAGGAGGTGAGACAAACTCTTATAGTGTGATAGGGAGGATGTGTTTTGTTCGAGAAGCTCGCTGGATGCCTTATTCCGACCGTTTGATCCGAAAGACAATAATGCCGTTGATGTTATGATTGTGGGCACGAACGAGGGACAGGTGCACTTGAGTATCTACGACTCTTTTGTTGTTGGATCTTTCCCTTCCCCGTCAATTGGCGGTGCGGACCCTTTTCATCTCGTTCTTCATTCATCACATGAGCAATGCTCGACTCATACTCTATTGATGAAATGCCCGGACTCTGACAGCCTCTACTTTGTCCCCATGGACCTGCGCTTCATATCAGCATCAAGCGAATATCTCTCACTACTAGCTTCTAGATCCACGAATCTTCAAAATCTGTTGAGGTATATTCATCAAGTTCAGACGTTGATGGTGAGCGAGTGGAAGTCAACGCAAGAATTACCAGGTCGATTTCTTCGAAATATTAATGAGACGCTTGGTGAGTCAAACAATGGCGATCGCAACATTGTTCAGGCTTTATATCATTCTGTTGCCACCGGCCATACATTTCCCGCCGTGAAGGAGTGGCTGGTTGACGAATTGGCGGAGAGAGTAAGTGCTTTGGCGTTGCACAAAAAATGCGTAACTAATGCTTATAGGGTCTTAAACGATGGGAGAAGGCGGTTGTTACTGGATTGGAGAGTCTCAAGCGGCTAGTTCATGAGAACATGCTGCCTGCTCTGGAGCGATGCTCGGTCATTCTGAGCCGGTTCTCCGGTATTGCCAAATTCCAAGGCCCAAATGACACTGTTGGTTTCTCGAGTCAACAGATAAGTCTCATCATAGATACAGTTGCATGTCTTCATCTAATTGGATCTAAAATACTGATCCAAGTCGTCGACGAGCTGGAGCTCTTCGGTGCCTTCTCATCCTGGCTGCGATTCGAGATTGACAGACTGGCTTCGGACGCCTCCACCTCACCAAAAGATGACGAGCTTGAGAAAGAAGCAACAATAGACCACAGCAAGGTTCTACTATACCTCCAGAATTGCATGACTGCCAGCCCATTAGAGGTCTGCCTCGGAGACTGCACGTCGGAGGACTACAATCATGGCTGGAACCAAGCGGACCAGGGCCTCCCAATGTTTGACCTACTGGATAAGCAACTTCAAAAGCAGGAGAAAGGACTCTCTTATATGAAACCCCTTCCTCGAGTTGAACTTCTGTGCAAGTACTTGTCTATGCAGGCAAAGACGATCTTTGGGCAGATTGCAGAAGCTGAGAAACGAAATGTCCTACTCGGGTACCCACAGGAAGTTGGGGTGGCTGAAAACGATGGACCGAAGGACGTGGGCATGAGCAAGAAAAAGTCAACGTTTCAAACTCACGTCGTATTAGTGCCAAAGGGTTTCCCAAGCTCCAGTAAGTCAAATTATGGCCATTTCTTACCCCTGCTAAATTCTCTTGCAGTTCAAATGAGCAGGATAACGTTCGGTGTTGCAAGCGGTATCAGCACTGTCCACGGTATAGAATCAGCAGCTATTCAACTTGGCACTGGCCGCATTAAGGATATCAAGATATTTGACGGCGAATCTTTGTTAATACTATGGGAAACGACGAGTGGTTAGTCGAACTTGCTAATCTGCGGGGTTTCTTGCTTAACATGTCATAGACACAACATATCTGCTGAGCATCCCCTCTGATGCTATCAGCAACTATACACCGTATGCAAAACATTCTCCGCCACGCCCAGCGATCTGCAGCAACGATGATGTTGTTAGCCGATTCTCGAGATTCGAACTGCCGGGTACGAGTGCTTTCATTCCCGAGCGATTGGAAATTAGAAGGCAAAGCAACAAGGACGATAAAGACTCGATAAGAATAGCTGTTCTAGGGAAAGATAGGCTGCATTACAAAGTCTTCAAAATCCCGGGCCCGGACTCGACGCGGCGAGCAGTCGAGGCAGATGAAGATATCCCCATGTCTTGAATTGCATGCCACATCTTGGTACGCTTACAACTTCTCAAATCCCTAAATCTCTACGTCTCAATTCCAGTAAACTTAATATGAAGATCACAGAACTAACTTTCAATAAGGGTCATTGACCAATGATGTTACTCGCATTAACAAAGCCGTATCGGTAAAGAAATCAGCCCGAGTAGCGACATGTACTTGCCCTTCTAGAGCAAGATCGTAGACCCCCGACGTAGGGACTCGGAGAGTTCATTGTGTACAACACACTAATGCACGTCTGGATCCGTATTTGGACCTATTATTAGCTGTCTAGGTAAAGTTCAACTAGTAATAGATTTACCTAGTAAGAAACATCATCGCTACTAGCCTTAGTCTCTCGAGATATATGCGGTTCTTCTAGGTTATCTTTGCTCTCTTCGCTGTGTAGTAATTCAATGTTGACGGCGTCCAGATGAATCGCAAACGGAAAGCCTTTGATAAATGCCGTCTACTTCACTTCCCTAGATGCCGGCATCTTCTGTAGACTCCTTAAACTTCGGTTTATATATCTATCCCTCCCTCGCCTTTAATATTATCGTGTCACTCGCGCGTCCTAGCCAGCTACATGATATCTACCCAGTACATTCTGATCCCGTGCCCCCAATCACGTCCCGTCCCTCCTGGGCGCTGGTCTGTGGCAGAATAATGGTTTCAAATTGAGCGCCAGCTATTTGAGCAGATATTATTATGGCGGTGGTGAGCGTTCATTTGGTTCTTGGCAGGTTTTGTTTGTTTTCAGGGGCGGCGAAAGGAAAGGGAGGATTTGCAGGGTGTTGCGCATAGCATCGGATTTTAAGGGAAGTTGTTCGTTGGGTCTGGAATTATGAGAGTTGAGATTGGCGGTGGCTAGTTGTGAAGAGAGGGTCTGGTGTAGAAGCGACAAGCCGACTTGAGGGACCTTTGCCATTGATAGGTTTAGTGTCGGTAGAAGGTCAGATTTAGACTTCAGATTATAGAAGTTGGTCTGAGAATACAATTCGAAGCTTACGTGAGTCGGGGAATTTATATGTCATGCTCAACAGCTAGAATGAGATTGCTTTGGTAATTTGTAGACACGATCTCCTCAAAGTGTGCTAGGTCGTATATCATCAATTTCAATCCTCGTTAATACCATTCGGCGTGATGCTATTCAGTTGTGGTGGGATGGGAGGTGATTTGCATTCGTTCACTGACTCGGAAGCTGCCACATAACACAGAAGCAACGCAATCACTCCTAGCTAGCAGGAAAATATATTCTTTTCCGGTAACAACTTTCCGCATTTGCATCTCTTCTTGAATTGTCCTGAGGTCAAGTACTTGATGTGAAAGTCTTAGCTACATATAATGTAAATAACGGTCGTAATCTGTTCTTTAAAAATCTATGAAAATAGAGTGAGGTGCTTAGAAGCGTCTATTTTCATCATGTGAGGAAGGTATGCTATTCTCAATGCAGCAGTTCTGAAGTCGAATTCTGAGCAATTTATCCCTCACACCAAATATTCGAGGAAAGACTTAAAGATTTTAAACGATCTATGAGATTTTGGTTTACTATAATGAAAGAACCTTGGTGTTTAGATGTATTACTAAGATCCTGCATGACTAAAATCGTGAGTTGGCAGTGCTATCCGTCATGCAGATTAAAAATTTGGCAGGAGGGGGAACAGCGCCCCTTTATATGCTAAGCGAGCTTCTTGCTCCGGGTGAGGGGTGAGGCGATAAAAAGAAGGATAATAATCGAGTCATTGGAACGGTAAAAGACTAAGCACATGACTTTATAAGTGTAAATTCGTATACTCAATTTTGATTCTTTTTAGATAGAGCGCTTATTCTGAGAAACTTTGCGCTCCCCCCCTCCCCCCCCCCCTAAGAGAATAAGCAATCTTGGGTAAAGAGCCGCGCAGGAAAGCTTTTAAGGTAGAAGTTCAGGTATGAAGTAAGTTAGCTAGGTCTGATCTTAAAGAATACCTATGTAGGTACGCCACTTGGGTATACTATTTAATGCTGGATGTGGTATTTGGTGGAGTTGTTGATTTAGCCTTGTTCGGAGTTGTTCCCAACGGGGTGGGGCACAAATTGTGTCACCCCACACCCCGCACATTAGATGAACCCTGTAAAGTTCGGGGAGGATTCCGGAACTAGATAAATTACCTACGGAGCTGTGGGGAATATCATAAAGGCCATCATAAGCTACATAGTTACTGGTGAAATCGCTTACTCCTTTGGCATTATAATTCGATTCTGCCATTCAAAAATATGTGGATATGAACAGTATGATCTCTATTCCAAAGTTCCCCGGCTGAATGGCTGGGCTCATCTTATTACTTATGTTGAAGATTGAGACAGACTAAATCATAAATCATGATTGTATTGTTACCAACGCTAGCCAGAGTACTTCAAATTACATGTTCTAAGAACTGAAAAATCTACATCTATTATTGATTCCATCTCCTTATCTAAAAATACGATGGTTCTCTACGAGCGCTTGAACCTGGTCTCGAGAGAATAAAGCTTTGCCTGATACGGCCCATCGCTTCCATCAATTCCTGTTCTCTCTCCCTGACGGCGTTCTGCGTCGAGCTGATCACATCCGTCATAGCACTGCTTGACTTGGATGACCGTGTTGGTGGGGGTTGATGAAAGGTGTTTCGGGAAGTATTTACCGCTGTCGGGGTTGTCATCTCGACCGAATGTCCTATATGACCAACGAGAAAAGATACCAGTTCGATAATCATTGAAATTTTCAGAGTGGGACTCGAATGTAGGGAGAACGAGCCCACGGTTATGGCGGGGAGGTGAAGGAGAGCTTGGGAGGCTTCGTCTTGCGAATTTGAGTTGCCAAGGATTTGCTGAATATGCGAGAAGAAGTTCTCGTAGATGCCAAGTAGGCGCATATAACATGACATCAATAGAAGTATTGTGAACTGGTCGCCATGTATGGGGCTTTGTCTCTTTTTATCTTCGGACGGTGGGGTGATGAATCCCTGGTTCTGGCGTATCTGGTCGTTTGATAACTGCAAAAACCGAGGTTGAACACCAGTACTGGTTTGCATCTCATCTGGCATTTCATTTTGGAGCCTTCCACCAGTATGAGAGACTAACTGGTCGAGTAATCTGATCAAGTCTGTCGTGAGTACAAGCAAATCATCCAGAAACCGACCTTCTTTCCCCTCCAATGGACGGCCATCTTGTAAGACGGGGTATGGGTCTGAAGTTATTGATGTATTCAACACTGGGGCTTCCGCCACGCCACATATAGCCTCCTCGTGCTTGGAAACCCTACTATTCAGCCTTGTAAGATCTTCAACCCAGATGTCCTTGGAAAAAGCCGGATTTCCAGTAGTGGACCCTGATGAGAAAGCCTCCCTTGGACTTTCTTCGAGTTTATATGAAGGCAGTGAGTCTCCTGAAGAGCCATGTAGTGGAGGGTAGTCCACGGAGTCGAATTTGAATTCAGCCCAATCGTTCTCAACGAATCTGCCGGAGAACGTTCCATCACTTCCAGATATATCTGCATTGGCATTGCTATTGGTAGCGATATGCGGCGAGAAATTAAGGTTATATAGATTCGTCTCGGTAGACCAATCCATGAGGGACATTGAAGTCTGACATCTCTCCTCCAAACCTACCGCAGGCCAAATTAGTCCACGGCACTGCAGTACAACATATTAAAGAGCCAATGAACATACATACTTGAAGATTTGTCACTATTACCAACCCATTGGGAGTGCGTCCTGATCTTCGGAGAAGCAGGCAGACACGTTTTGTCACTGTTACCACGTCGGCGCTTCGGGGGGTTCTCCGTCTTACGCGTGCGTCGCGGAGACCGCATAACGCAGTTGGTGTTTGCTTTGGTACATCGAATACATCTCTCTTCAGTCTCAGGGCGGCATTTCAGCTTCTGCGCGTGGCATCTCTCACAAGCACGGTGGCTGTAGATATCGTCTGTATTCATACTGCCCGGCGAAGATGAGCATTTGATGGAGAGCTAGGACTTCATACGTAGCGGTTCGGTGGTCAACAGCTATATTCAAGCGCTATGGTCAGCTGTAGTTAGCTATCGTTAGCTATAAGGACTCATCAATAAATTTCCTCAGGATGCTGCCGTTCCTTGAACTGTGCAGCTTAAATCATTTCTGCTGCAACCTTGCTTATTGCCGTGGCAGCAATACAAGGTTTAAATGGTAGGATTCATTGAGTCCCCTGTAATCGTGACGCATTCAAGGGTCAGCGTGTTCTTTATCCCGTCAGCCAGCTATAAGCACTTACGTTGTACAGCACGACACTGGTATGCAGATATCAGACAAGGGTACTGTTACAGCCAAGCCTTAATGCTACGTAAAAACCCATCATATGTAGTGACAGATAACCCAAATTTGACGTTGGATTTGAGTATACGGAGTACAAAATGAAGCGAGACATATGAACAAGTCTAGATGTTCTCCACAGCAAATAGTAATCAAATGCTGATAATTCGTAGATTCAAGAGACAAAAAAGCCAAAACGGCATGGAAGGAGATATGGTGTCATACTTCTCGGGCGCTAAATATGCCAGTGAGACGGGACGGGAGATACGTCGAAGATAACGTCTAGACAGGGATATAAGCTCGAAATGTGGAGAGTTCTTTTAGGATCCGCTATCCCCTCCCGTTTTATTCTGGCCAAAAAGAGGGGCCTGCCGTCTTTCTTTGATGAATCGGAATCAATTGCGCGCGTACGAGCTAATCATACCTCCGTAATATGAAGGTGCCGTCGTAAGATCATCCAAAAATGGCCTGGAACCCTGATATGCCAAGGCGGGTGCTCCCGATACGTGGTCTTTGATGCTTTACGGAGAAGACGGGATTGACTATTGATACCGCTCGTTTTACGTTTACATTATTTGAGGGCCCTTAAGTGGAACTTGAGGTAGGACCCTAATCGAAGTTTCTTCAAAGTTTGACACTTCCTACTATGGTGGTTGATGTATATGTCTAGAATCTTGCGTATAATCGTTCCTA